AATTACAAATAAAATCGGACAGTATGTGTGCGAGGCATTGTAAAATAAGCCGACAAAGTCTAGAAAATTAGAAGAAAAGCACATCCTATTATTTTAGCAGCATTATTTTATCTGCTTATTATTGGAAGCAATTGATTTTCTCCTGAAAAAATAATTTAATAAAAGACACAAAAGTGGAAATCATGTATATGATCCATTGCTAAAGAAACAGGAAAAATGGTGGACACAGGAATTAGAAGACTTCTGACATGCTTTATCTTTACAAGAGTTAGATTAGACGAAAAAATCATTATTGCTGCCATATCTGTGCTAAAGCTACTCAATCCTCACTTTCAAGTAGTGACAGTGTTCAAGGGCCTTTACGTGGTCTTATGGAGGTAGGCTTATTTTCTACACTACAGCTTCTTTCCCACAGACGCAATGTCACAAGCCTATTGCTACTTTATTGCTATTTCCATGGTAAATGTTCAAAAAAGCTACATTCCTTAGTTCCACTAGTTCAGACATTTACAAATAAGACACGCCATACCATTTCCACGGCGTCGAATCACCCGCATCTCTTATGTGCTCCAAATTTGAAAGGAAAGTTCCAAATTTTTCATAAGAACACGGAACTTTATGGGACAAAATACTGTGTGGCGGCTTCTCTGAATACAAAAATCTTAATCATTCACTCAAGGGTCAATCGTTATCCTTTGTTGTTATCCAAAATCTTCACTTCCTGCCACTTCCTCTTTCATTCATATCACACACCACATTCATAACTATTGTAACAATAACACTATTTGAGTGGCTATTAAGAATAAGATTGAGGGAACTTTCGTATAAGAACAAAAATCCATGCTAAGTCGATTACTGTCAATAACATTCGGTGTCAAGATTAACAGCCTATGTCAAAATTATTTTAAAACAGGAGTACATAGATTCACCTATCGTTAGGTTCACACTCCTCCCGGTCTTTTCAACAGGAATAAAAGGTTTATCCCTTGTTTCTTGATTAGGATTGGGTTTCCGATTCCTTCTAATGTCTTTTTCATTCTCCACCACTCCCAGTAGCCCCTTACATCTTAGTGGCATTATCAGCCTGCTTGGAGCGAATTCATTAATAAAAACATTACTTAAAGAATAACTGGCCAATTTAGGTAGGTAGAGAAAGAGTCGGGAGGGAGATAACGATATATTCTTGTATATATCAACCTGCATGACATGCCCTTTTGATAAATGACCAATCGATTTACTTGCAAATTTTGTCGAAAAGAAATATTAATCACACTATATATTTTAGTATTTGCAAACCAATAGAAAGTAAGTAAAAGCTACCATTTCAAATTATAATTGTATAAAATAGGGTATCAGATATACGAAAATGTCTGAAGAGTTTGAAATAGGATCATAATAATAATCAAAATTTAAGGGGTCAATCTTTTTGTGGATGTGATTACGTGAAGAAATCAATCCACGAATGCACGTATCTATCATAGTTAATTTATTAGCATAAAAAATTATAATAAAGAATCTACAAAAATCCTTTATAAAAAATAGATTAATATCTGTGAGAGTGATTACAGCAGTACGATAACTATTAAGATCAATTCACTGGTCTATTGTCAATTCAAACTTGTTGAATATTTCGCTATAGTAGAAATCTCTGCCAGATGTAATTGATTATTAGCACGTAAATGAATGCAATGAACTCGACTGGAATTCGAACTCCGAAATGTTATCCATTACTCCGCCGTGTCTCAAGGGCAACTAAAAAAATAAAAATAAAAAAAACTATTTAAATCGATGAACATGGAACATAAAAATATCATCAAAATTTACAAATATGTGAACATGTACACATACGTATAGCCTCTGAAATACGTTCACAGCTATTGACACACGCATGTATTTATTCATATGCACACTTGTTCAAACATGGACATATATATATATATATATATATATATATATATATATATATATATATATATATATATGCACAAAACTAATAACCTTTATGAGCATAATGTTTCTTTATCTCTCACTTTTCTTTTTCATTTCTGCTCTTCCTATCGACAACCATCTCGTATAAATACAACACACACTTAAATATATCCTGTATATGCTCAGATTAAAACAATTTCCATCCACTGCACTTTATCAAATGAGAGACGAATGTTGCATGCTTAGAGAAGAACTCTCCAATCGTGGAATTGAAACATGACGGCGTGTCATTGATAGAGCATTTCAGACAAGGTTCTGGTGACAGCTATCATTTCGCTTAACCAACCCATTCCTAGTTTGTTTGTTTTCTTTTCTTTTTTTTAATTCACCTTAGGCCGAGAAAAAGGATCCGCGCCGAGGAGTTTAGCTGCTTGGACTTTCAGTGTATTCCCAAAGTTGTTAACAAAACATTCAGTGCGTGTGGCACTATGCTTTAATAGTTTTGTAAAATTCTACAATGAAATTCAAAACAAATTCGATTGGGAGAAACAATGGATAATTTTTTTTTAATGCAAGTCATTGAATGTTCACTTTCCATGTTTTTTAAATTAAGTTTTAATTTGAGTTTAATAAAATCTACATTTTTATTTATTTAAATATTAATTCATTATAATTCTTTGTATATTATTACTTTTGAAGTTGATTTAAATTGATTCTTTGAATATACACATCAGGAATATACGGCAGCTTTTATCAGGGAACAATGTCTCTTCAATGCTTATTATTCTAATTTTAGTAATGCTCCTATGCGTTCCTCAGAATTTCAAGTGTTGTTGTAGTATTTTATCATGGTTCTTCAGAAAAGTTCAAAGCACTCCAGTAATGATGAGTATTATCATCACCTTCAAATTGCATAAACCCTCTGTTCACTGGCAAAAAAAAATTCCAGCGCATTTACTCTATTTTATTCTTCAGAACAACATTTGCATTTTAAATATTGCTTTGTATGGTCAAGTCCCAGTCGATTGAGCAGGTATTAGTGAATCACCTTTTCTAAACTTTTGTCGTCCTTCTGGTCATACTTGCTGTATCATTTATTATTTAAATGACGGTTTCCTCTCTATAAACGATATTAACAATCCGACTGTATTTTTATATTATTATAAGACAATTATTCTGGATTAAGAATAATAAGAATTGAATTCATTATCATTAGTTCACTTATTCAGATTTCACAGGAGTAACATGCGTTGGCCGATAATGGTGATTTAGTGGGAACAGGTCTTCTCAACGATTCAGTATTCTCATGAGTATCCAAGTAGTTTTCATTAATTCATCGTCTCGATTGCTCAAACTTTTCCAAAGCTTTTTCTTCCAAACTCTTTTCTTGGATCTTAGGAGCCGTTCACAATTATTTGAAAACCTATGGAATGGTTATCATTTTCAGGTTACACATGCTTAACTCTCAAGATAGGTCGAGATGATAAACTCTTCTTTCGGGCCTATTCTCTGGGTGGCTGCTGCTACGGCTGTTGTAGTTGTAGTATAATGATGGTGGGGTTGTTATATATATATATATATATATATATATATATATAGAGAGAGAGAGAGAGAGAGAGAGAGATTCTGTCTTAACGTCATTTTAGTAGATACAATTTATTTAAGTAAATGCTCTGTTTTTTTTAAATGAACAATATTAATTACATTTACTGGGGAGAATGTTAGAGAAATTTCGTAGAAAATAAATACGAGTTTTCCACAAAAATCTTAAAATAACGTATATACAGCAAATATGTTAAATAACATCATATATATATATATATATATATATAATATATATATATATATATATATATATATATATATATATATATATATATATAGAGAGAGAGAGAGAGAGAGATATATATATATATAGTAAGAGAGAATAAATATAGATAGATAGATAAATATATAGATACATACATACATACATAGTTACATACATACATACATACAGATAGACTGATAGTTTTTGTATTGAAATATGTCGGTCTCTTCAAACCGTAATCTATCTATATAACTACGTTTTAGTTTTGAGTTCTTACTATTTTAACTTTAAAACATTACAACGGATGTTTTCATACGTTATATTTACAAAGGTTTTTTTTAAAGTAGCATTTTAAATTAATTATTTCATTAGAATATGGATTTCTTTGTTTTTGTTGCTTATGTTATCACAATTAAAGACTGAAAAGTAAGTTCGATCCACAATGGCTGCCCCATAGTTTCGGTTTTTGTGTCACATATGAGCTACGCTTAGAAAATCACCATATGGAAAGTAATAGAAACCCTTGTTAAAGATATTAAATGAAAGAGAATTAAAGAGGTAAAATTATTTGATTAAAAAGAGAATGAAAAGTTGTACAAAGAGAGGGAAGCTCTGATGTTATTGATCTCTAGCAGATGGAAAGGCATGATCCAGTAAGAGTGTGAGTAAATGATGATACGCAGTGGGAGGTAGTGTTTAAGAAGCGAGGAAGGGAGTTGAAATAGGAGTTAAAACGCGGGAAGTCAAATGTCGGCTTAGTAAGAAATATAAAGGGTGAAAGATATGTTTACAAAGAGTGAGGGAAATATAACAGGAAGTTGGAGGGATCACTATTCAAACTGTGAGTCACTATAGCTGACCACACCATCAAGCATTTTGATGATACCGTAGTCAGAATACGACGAGAAAAAAAAATGAAAGGAAGAAATGATAAAAGAGAATGAAAACGAGAAAGAGAAAGCGATAAGAAAATTGGGAAATAAGATAATGCACAAAAAGGTTTTCTTTTTTTCTTTGTTTCATGAATCGGGTGAAAGTTCAGAATTAGTGTGGGAGAAGGGGTTAAATGTAACGAATTTCTACGAAGGAAGAATTACAATTATAATAGCCTAGATAAGAGGAGAGACCCTGAAAGGTTAACAGTGAAGCCGAAATAGAAAGTCGGAGAATGTAGTTATGAGGAGGCGGGATTTGAAAAAAAAGAAAAAAAAAAAAAGAAAAAAGAACCGACCCTTCCTCCTCAAAAAACGGAACGAGGAAATTAAGATAAAAAAAGAAAGAAAGAATTTAAAAGAAGAATGAAAAATCGCATGAGTGAAAACGAGAAGCTCGGCCATGAGTGGAGTGGGGCAATATGATTGAATGATGGATCAAATAAGAGGTGAGATGGCGTAGAACGAGGATAATATGCTAGAAAGGATTGAGAAGATAGGAAAAAAGAATATGTACGAATTAAGAAACCGAATGAAAGAGAGAAAGAGATAAAGAGAGAGAAATATAAATAAAGAGGGAGAGATAGAAAGAGGGAGAGATAGAAAGTGGGAGAGATAGAAAGAGGAAGAGATAGAAAGAGGAAGAGATAGAAAGAGGGATATATATATATATAGAGAGAGAGAGAGACAGATAGAATGAGAAAGGAAGAAAGAAAGAGAAAGAGAGAAAGAGAGAGAGAAAGAAATAGAAAGAGGCTTTTAATAAGAAATTCCACTGCATAGAGGCTTTAAAACAAGTTATTTTTTTGTGAAAGAATAGAAATGTCAAAGAAAATTAGACAAATCGTATGATACAGAAAAAAAGGAGAGAAAGTGAAATAAAATTGAAAGGAAATAAAGAAAAAAACAGTTAAAAATATAATTAACTTTTAGAAAGCACGATATGTATTGTATTTAAAAAAAAAACTATACGTACAGGCATAGAGAAACTCAGAAACTCTGATACATATCACCAAACATACAGATTCTTACAAAGAAACATACACAGATGCACAGGCACTGATATATAGATACCCACATACTGACACGCGCACGCAACTAGTTTAAAAGCAGACATATATAGATACAGAGACATTGGCACAAGCAATCATATTGCTGAGAAACAGACATGGGCGGGTGCGTATGTACGTAGGTACATGCACACACACACTGACCTATACAGAAACATATACAGGAGTATAAACACGCAACCATACATAAAGCAATATACAAACTAGCATATACACACACAGATACACATGCATACAAAGAGAAACATGAAACATATACTGATAGACAAGGATACATGAAGAGACATAAACCCAGGAAAACAGATACACAAAAACACAAACATATGCAGGCATACATAGTCACCTACAGACAGGGTCACACAGAATGGTATAGACATATACAAACATGCACTCATACAGATGAAGAGATATAGACAATAACACATCCAGAGATATGAGACAAAAATACATAAAACACACCGATACGTAGAAAGAAAGATGTAGATGCCAACATACATATGCAAAGAGAAAGAGAGAGAAAAAGAAGTAGACACCAACACGTAGAGGCAAAAAGAACCAGAAATATACACAACCCAGACACGTACAAACGTCAACATACACATTGACACAGAGACACAAGTGCACACACAAACACATAAACTAACAGACACAGATGCAAGTATATAGAGACACATGAGTGCATACACATACATGAAGTGACAGCCTAAACATCAACAGATACAGAAACACAGAGGCATCAGCACATATACAGAGAGATAATGTACAATCACATACACTATGACACAAACATACAAACTCAAACATACATAAATTTACACGGAAACAAAAAAGCACAAGCACACAGACGATGGTTTCAACGCAGAAAAAGACAGAGACATATACACACACACAGATGCTGTAAATTAAACACCGGACTCCATGATACACACAGACTCGGGCACCAGTATATAGAGAAGTATAAGAGTGCGCCCGCACCCCCCTCCCCACACACTCACAAAGGTAACTCAACTTGCAAACAGATATTAGATCATTGCAAAAGTTCGTACCCGATCAGAAAATTAAAACAAAATTTTACATATTCTTTATTGTTAACAATTATCCCCCATTGATCTGCAAGCTTGTTAATGACATTTTCGTAGAAACTTCATACTTTTCGTTGGAAGGAAGTTGTGATATATTTTTTGATTGTAGGGTCAAATTTTTATCATTTAAATTATTCTGAAGAAATAAAAATACGAAGTAACCAAGCTTTTAGAATATGGAAGGTGCTGGAAGAGTTCCGATTTCAATTCTTTAATCTTCTGCATGGTCCGTTTTTCAACATGACACCTTTGCGGTTTGCCAAAATCGGCCGTTTTTCTCGCATTGAGATTGGTATGTTTGTCGCAGTACTTCTTTCCAGTTATAGTTTCGCTAGCTGGAAGAATCTCAATATGAATTGTAACCCCCACTAAACGGACAGCAACACCTTCATTGGATGCAAATCCACTTTAGCCACGGGTTCTGCACAATTACAAGATTGTTTCCAGCTCCGTTTGTGTCGAAGGTTATAATAAACTATTCTTTTGTCATCGCCTGCGAAAATTCTGTCCAAGAACGGTTCCTTTTTGTGGCGTGACAGCAATGAAATCACTGCAAAAACACGATCGTACTTGTTCTGTTTCGCAAGAGGATGTAACACCCATGTGTTGGGTTTGGATATGAACCCAACTCTCTTAAAATTCTTAGTAATCCCTTTCGTCCAAATCTTGGTTTATTCTCCCCGATAGCAAGCAGAGCGTCTTCATCAACGTCGGAACGCAGCCTGGAGCTTGGTTGATTGTTTAGGTTGAAATCTCATTGACGAAATCTGCCAAATTACTTTTTGACAGCTCGAAAGTGTTGGAGAACGATGCAAATAAAACTTTTTTGTCGCAGTTTCAACGCTTACTTCTTTCCGAAATTAACAGAACATAACATTTTCATCATCCATCCTTAAGACATTCATTTGTAAAAAAAACTTTAACATTCAACAAAGTCTGACTTGCAAATGAACGATGCACGTTTTCAATCTAAAACACACCAGAAATGTGTACCAAAATAAACATTATTGTCAAGTTACGGTATTTTATATTAACAATGAAAATCGGGCACGGAATTTTGCAATGATGTATACTGACAAAGTTAAGCGCAAATATAATAAATTGACTAGAATTTAATTCAAAATGAAACACATTAATAAAGCTCGTATCGAATGAGATAAATTTAAGAGAGAGAAGAAAAATATGTGCTATGACAGATGAGGCAACAAATAATGCTTAAAGAATAGTCCAAAATACAGAACATTTACACACAATAATTAGAAACAAATGCAGGTATGTAATCTGAAGATTAATGGATGAAAAGTGTGAAAAGACAAAAAGAATCATAGATACAGCAGGTATACAAAGAATAAAAGAAATAACAGGGCAAAAACGTGCTCCTCGACAGGATGCATAAAATCAAAAGGAAGAATGCTCGTAATAGAGAAAGGAAAAATACTCCAAAGATGAAACAAATACATCGGAGAGCTATTCTGCTACAAAAAGTTGGAAACCTGTAATACATGGCAGATATGGAAGGACCTGAAATATTAAATCTTAGATCGACACTAATAAGATGAACAGGAACAAAACAGCAGTATCAGATGGGATTCTAACAGATTTTATCAGTGATTTCGGCATCAACATGATTGCAGAAATAGTAAATTAAATAGATGTCTGTGCTGACATATCAATGATCTTCGTAGAGCCAGCTTCGCAACATTGCCTAGGAAGTCAGGTACAAATAAATACGATCTCCAACATCAGACAATTTGCTTAATGAGCCAAATAACTAAGTTTATAATCCTGATTCTGATGAATAAAGCACGTAAAGAAATTAGATCGGAAACAGGGTAAAAACAGTGGAGTTAAGTTAATGATATTAGAGCAAGCAATACAAATGCAGAAAGCCGTATAAGAATGTTTCATAGATTGTGTAAACGTGTTTGATAAGGTATAATGCAAATATATATTTGAATTGCTAGGAAATCTTGATTTATTTAGGAAAGATTAGAATAATGAGGAACATTGACTGGGAGCAAACCTCCTGCATCCATATAGAAGGGGACATAAGACAAAGATACGTCTTCTTCTCGGATTTATTCTGCTTTTACAGCGCGGAGATCCTAAGTGAACTCGAATTCCTACCAAGATTGGTGAGTACAAAAAACTGCAGGAATTACTAGATGGTAGAAAAAAAGAGGGAAAATGGAATAACTATTAATTCTAAAACAGAAATATTGTTTTTTGCATGAGGAACAGCTCACGATGCTTGAAACAAATTAGAGAATTCAATATCTAGCAAGTACAGGAATTTGACTATCTTTGAATTGTTTTAATAAACGACAAAAAGTGAGATAATAGTGGAAGGTGCATCGAAACTTCGCACTATGCCTTCCAAAAGGCAAAGTATTTAGAAACAGAAAAAAAATCGTTAGAAGTTTAGAAGATTGCTGAATTTCTATTTAATATCAATCCTTCTATATGGAATCCTGGACAACTTCCTCGCAGATGAACAGACTTGAAACAACAGAGATGTGGTTATCTTGAAAGATGCTGAGAATACTGTGGACGGAAGATGTGAATGACGGCGATGTTTTAAGGAAAAAGGAAACAAAAAGGATACTTAGTATCAGACAGAGGTAGTTAAATTTTCAAGAAAACCTGAGGAAAGAAGGCTTAGAGAATCTGAAATTCACAGGATATATTATGAAGGCAATAATGGAAGAGAGAAACATCGAGTAACCTACGTGACAAGCTCGTATAAATTGATGGCAGAATAGTGGAAGCAAACATTACTTACAGCTACAAATCACGCACGTCCGGAAGAGATACGGCCTATAAAAGAAGACACCAGTTAAATTGGAACGCCCCAGCGTAGAGTAATGGCTAGCGAGCTTGTCTGGTTGACCATTAGTTGTGTGTTCGATCCTTACTGGGTGACATACAAATATGGTCTTGCGCCTAACTAAACTAACCGTAATAAGCGAGAAAAAAACTTGAAGGTCACCTAATTTGTCTCAATGAGAACTCCATAAATAATCTTGTATATTAAAAATTAATATCTCGTAAGGAACAATTTTCTGTATCAAAAATAGTAAATCAAGAAATGTAATCACTATCTTAGAAACAGAATCTTTCTTAAATTTTGTCAGACTAAACCACAGTAAAAACAAGCCGTGATAGAAATACCTTCCATTCGTGACAACGAGGTCTTCATCTAGCAAAAGCTTTATCATTATGTAAAACCACTCATAATACTAATAATAATGGTTATTTTACAGCTTTCAATATGTAAAGATTTTAAGATACCTTTTCTTCATTGAACAGTTAACCTTTTTCACTTTTTTTAATCACATCAGAACATAGGCGATCATGCTCTCCTCTCCAGGTTCTTATTAATGAATTGCTTTCTGAACAATATGTTAGACTTATTTCCCATTGACAACTATATGATCTTGAATTGGTTATTCCTTCTCCTATATTGGATACCACCGAAAACTAGAGCGCATAATCTACAGGACTGTGGTGGCGGATGAATTTATGCATTTCTCAAATTTATTTATATAAAAATCAACGTAAACAAACTATACTCGAACTCGGTTTACTGATTGCCTTTACTCTGCCGATAACGATTACGCTATCCGAGCACTTTTGCATTTTTTAAATTATTATTTCCTTAATCTTCATCTATCACTCTATTTATATATGATTATCTTTCTCTCTACTGCTTTATTTCTCTCTCCACATTTCTCTACTTTTTCATCTTTATTTTTCTGTCTTAATATTCTGCCTTCTTTTTCTTTTTCACATTTATATTTCCTTGTCAATTTTATTATTCTTTTTTTATAATTTCTTTACTATTTTGTTATATATCCTTTATTTTTCTGTTCCTTTTTTTTCTCTCGTCCTGTCTTTTTTATTTCTTATTTTCTGTTTCTATTCTGTTTGTACTTTATGCTACTCATCCACTCTTTTTTATATTACTCTCCTTTTCTCTACCGGTTTCCTTCTCATCCATTACTCTTGTTCCTTTGACCTCACCCACTGTTTTGTATGCCTTACCATACCCTTCATTTAATTGTAGATTCGTCTGCGCGGACAAAATAAGACAAAGCATATGCAATAAATCATGGAAGTAAAATTGTCTTTTTAAGGAACTTTTTGATAAGATGCAGTACTAGTTTGATATCAGATATTACGAGGGATTCTTGAAGTTCTCGTCCCAAATAAGCCTTCCAAAAAATTATTTGATATTTAATCTTGATCAGATTTTGGGAACTGGGTCAGACAGAAAGGTTTTCAAAACCCCCTTGTTTTATAGTATGTTCGGACTTCAGTAAATCAAAACTGTTAATTGCATATTTGAAATCACTGTTAAACCATAAAACATATGAATACACAAAAGCAATCTTACTTTAATTTTATTGATATTATGATGCGTCATTATTATCTTCCTCTTTCTTAAACATTTACTTGAGTTTTTTTTTCAATTTGCCCCATTTCTTTCTTCCTTGCTTTTTCTTTTTATATTT